CTGCTTAAGTACTTTGGGATCATACCCATTACCTGCCTCACCCCAACCCAATCAGACATCAAGTTCTAGTGAGTTATTCTCCCATTTCTTAACCTCTCATCTTTATTCTCCTTGTTTTCTCTTCAAAATTTCTACAATTAAGTGTTTTTCATATTTAGAATCCAATACTATGACTGTTGACCAAATATATTAAATAAACCATTTTTAGGATTTTAATTGCTTACCCTCAATTACACACTTAGTAAAAGGGTAAAAGTAGAAGGAGCTACTGTAGAGACAGTCTCACAGGCTTCAACAATGAGCAAAGACCATGCTTAATGGATAACCATTTCCAAACAATGCTACATCTGCCCAGAGAAATGGCAACAGCAATGCCCATCATCAGGTGGCACTCTTGTCTGGATGTGGTCCCTTCTCAGAGTCCTTAAATTCTCTCCTAACTAAAGTAACAGGTCCTTATAAAAATCCTGCTGCTTTCCTCTGAAAGAACAATCTTTAATTAAGCAGTTGTGGTTTTCATGTAGCATGTGCCCAAAAACAGATGTCTCTTAGTAAGTTAAAAATAAGCATCATTGAAATATTTAATATAACAGAAAGCGGAAGTTGATGTCTCAAATATCTTTTTACTCTTGAATTAAAAAGAGCAAGATATGTAAAAGAAAGGAAAAGAACTGAGAGAGAGCTTCCGTACAATGCTTCATCTAAAAAAAAAGTCATCTGCCTACAATTTTCAACTATCCTGTAAGAAAACTGGACTAAGAAACACTGCTTACGTGGTCATTTCCTTTACTGTAAGCACGTCTGTGTGACCAGTAAAATCATCCCCTGTTCACAGGTGAAGGCAGGTAATTTCAGATTAAAACTAAATTTGCCCTGGAATTTCCTGTGTTCTAATTATTTGTGCTGGCTTTGGAGTGGCAAAAATGGTAGAGTTGGATGCAACTCTGAAAACAAGTTGCTAGAATGTCCAACAACCAGGAGGAGCATTCAATGTGTAATCAAACTACTGATCTGCCACGTGGGAGCAGCTACTGGAGCCAACCGCTCACACTTGGGCTTCTTTGGTGATTTTCAAGTTCATTTTTCCCTTCACGAGCTCTCATTTAAAAAGCCCAGCTTGTGCTTCTTAAAACAAACAGAAAGTGAAGTGTTGCAGAACAATCTGGCTAAAGATGTCCAAGTTAAAGTAAGAGAACCCATGGGTGAGTGGCAGAGAAGGATTCTGAAATGTAGAATCAAAGTTTCCAAACACACACACACACAACCCACAGTCCTGGGGGTCTGTATACAGAAAACTCAGATCTTTGGGACATCAGGTTTCAGGTGAAGCCCTTTATCAACACGGAACATGGTAAGAGGCCCATTACCCTACCCCCTAGCACACGTGCTAACAGCAAAGTTCAGTTTTCACTCTGCTAGAGATTGATTTCCAGGGATTAGTTTCTGCCACCTCTGAGGATGTAGAGAAAAGCCTTTAACAGGAAAAGTTTCTTGTCTGGTGAGCCGGAAAGAAAATGCCTGGGTCAATATCCCCTCAGTGTCTCCGGTGGGGAGGCCTGGGGAGAGAGGCACTGGGAAGACCCTGAGTGCTAGAGGGAAGTGGAATCAGGAAGGGAAGTTTAAACGGGGCTGACACTTCTCAAAACCCAAACCACACAAACATATGATGTATTCACGTCCCAGACTTGAGCTGAACCCATGAGAAAGACATCACACTTCCAAACCCTAACCTACTCCGGTTTCTCTGGCTTTATGCTGTGAAGAGAAGTAGGATGACCTTTGGTGATTTTCTACAAACGCAAGAGGACTTCAGATGGTTCCTGGAAAAAACTCTGCATGGAGTTCAAAAACATTTTGCATCAAAATAAATTTATCTTCTAATTTCATTGTCCACAAACTTTTTGAAGGACTTTCATGTAGATAGGTAGATAGATGTGGAGAGAAGACCTTTTTTTTTTTTTTTTTTTTTGACATGCAGAGTGGACAGTGAGAGAGAGAGACAGAGAAAGGTCTTCCTTTTGCCGTTGGTTCACCCTCCAATGGCCGCTGCAGCCTGCGCGCTGCGGCCAGCGCACCGCGCTGATCCCAGGGCAGGAGCCAGGTGCTTCTCCTGGTCTCCCATGGGGTGCAGGGCCCAAGCACTTGGGTCATCCTCCACTGCACTCCCTGGCCACAGCAGAGAGCTGGCCTGGAAGAGGGGCAACCGGGACAGAATCCGGCGCCCCGACCGGGACTAGAACCCGGTGTGCCGGCGCCACAAGGCGGAGGATTAGCCTAGTGAGCCACGGCTCCGGCCAAGAAGACATTTTTATATTTCCCCTGCTATCAATGGCAGTGAGGATGTTACATTTCCCAGGTCTCTGTGCCCTGAATGAATGTAGCATCCATTTTCCAGTGAAACATAGTATCATGAGATTTGGGAGATGGCAGCTGGGCTGGGGGCATCTCAGGCAGCCGGCACAAGGTTCCACAGACATGAGCTCCGGCAGCAGCAGACATGAGTGGAAGGCACTCCCCTCTCTGGGGGCCCTAGAGGAGCCCCTAGGGAAGCAGAGGCTCCCCATGAGGCTTTGAGAGGTTCCTGACCCCTCAAAGTTAAGGGTCTGTGCTGGCTTGTGCTGCTCCACACTTCCTAGCATTCCTAAGTGATAACTCCATGGGACAGACTTAATTCTGTTCAGAACGTCTATGGTGATTTCTCTTTCCTGGCTGGACTCGGACTACAGGTATCATCAAATTTAATGTCATCGAGAGAACCTCAGTCAGAGGCTGTCAGAAGTTCCCTCACGCACACAGGAAACGAGAGTTTAGGAAAAAACGGGGAACCATGAACAGTCTCAGAATCAGGAACTTCTGTCCTCACACAGAGAAGGGGAACTGAAAGTCTGGTGTAACATCTCCCAAATTTGGTGATCTCAGGAGGAGAACCAATCAGTGTCTTAGGACTGAACAATGTCATCAGTCGTTGAGCAACACCTTGAGATTGAAGGTGCTAGTACAACATGTAAAATGCCTTTGAATTTACCATGTACTTCTTAGGCACCTTGTAGTAACAAGGCATTATGGAAGCCAGCAAAAATTGTACTATTTGATATTTACCTCTGGAAGAGAAGATGCCAAGTTTAATATAGGACCATTTTTTAGCACAGAGTAATACTATCAAACACTGACCTGGCTCATTCCTATGCCACCAGGAAATAAACTTCTGAGCAATTTTATGGCAGAAATGTGTGGTGGACCTCCTTTCAATGCTTTAGGAGTTAATGTCGGGATGTTTGAAGCCCTTAGATGTGATCAGACAACCAGTAATATGCAGGTGTTTGCCTTAATTGTGTGTAAGGACAGCTGCATGACAGAGTAAGACCTCAGCATAACAGTGTGGAATGTCTACCTTAAGCAAATGTGTCAGGACTGATATTAAACCATGGATTCACAATCTGACGGGCTGCCTCACTGTCAGGTTTCTGATCACTGGAAGTATTTGGATGTCGGTCCTTTCTATATATGGCTTAACATTTTGCTTTTCTTTATATTTATATATTTATTTTTGACAGGCAGAGTTAGACAGTGAAAGAAAGAGAGACAGAGAGAAAGGTTTTCCTTTTCCATTGGTTCACCCCTCAAGTGGCCACTACGGCCAGCGCATTGCAGCTGTCGCGCTGTGCCGATCCGAAGCCAGGAGCCAGGTGCTTCCTCCTGGTCTCCCATGCGGGTGCAGGGCCCAAGGACCCGGGCCATCCTCCACTGCACTCCCTGGCCACAGCAGAGAGCTGGACTGGAAGAGGAGCAACCGGGACAGAATCCAGCACCCCAACCGGGACTAGAACCCGGGGTGCTGGTGCCGCAGGCGGAGGATTAGCCTAGTGAGCCGTGGCGCCTGCCCAACATCTTGCTTTTCTATTACACTGTATTTTCAGAAAAGGGTGAGTTAGACTCTCTTAACTTTCAGTATGCTCTTTGGTAAACATCAAAATATACATTTTGGATCAGAACTCTGGTAATTATATGACACAGGGAAAGAAATGGTAAAGCCCCCCTGGGGGAATTATCCTCAGTGCTCCAAGTAAAATAAGCTCTAATTTACTCTAGCATGTTTGTTGCCCTGAGTCCTTAAACGAGGTGTGTCCCTAGAAGACTACTCCAGTCTCTGGTGACATTTCACAGGATGGAGGCCAAGAGAAGCTACCACTATTGCCGGCAGCCACTACTCACACCCCAACATATATAACTTTCCAATACCTCTCCACATCTGGAAATGTTGAAACACAAGCTTTCTCCTTGGGTATTTTCTAAATACAGGACGATGTCAGGGATCCCAAGCTCTTGGGCTGAGTTTATCCTATGGAGTCTAGGGCACTGGAGAAGCATGTCACAATCAGGAGCTTCTTAAATGAAGCTCTGTTGCCAGGCACCACCAAGATCCAGGTGTTTTCCACGGCCTGACACTCTACCTGTTCTTTAGATGATTCATCATCCCTCAGATAAAGTCCAGCTGTCACACCACAGAGGCGTGGTCTGCATTTATCTATCTCGTTAGGAAATTTTCTTTTGTTTTTCCCCCTATTTGAGTTTGACATGTTGAATCACTTTTTTTAATTTAGTGGCAATGGACAGTCCTAATAGCTCAGCTAATTTGAAACTAACAATCTTGCTGCACAAAAGGAAAAATATGGTGTTTGTGTTCAGTAAATGTTTGAAAAAAGAAAAAAAGGATATTTTCATTAATTCTATTTCCACTACTGTGTTTCAGACATACCCCTTTCTAGAACTGAGTTGGGATGAAAAAGTCTGACAGATCAACCAAACTTCTCGAATGATTTTTTTTTGTTTTGTTCAGAACTTCTTATCTAGTGAACTATTCTTGTCCTGCACCCTGTACAAGAGCCCTTCCCCTAGCAACAGATGTGTCATCACAAAAGATTTTTCTGATTAGCTTAACACTCAGTTGATTTAAATTTTTAATTGTCGGACTCTATCACACTCCACCTTCTCTTTCTTTTATTCTGGTCTCTTCTGCCTCACTAGTGGTTCCACTGACACCCATCAAAGAAACTAAGAAGAAAATGGCCATAAGCGGTGGAGTACCAGTCCTGGGCTTTTTCATCATTGCTATTCTGATGAGCCCTCAGAAGTCTTGGGCTATCAAAGGTAGGTGCTGAGAGAATCTAACCCTGGGGCAGAAGACTGGGAAGCATTGGAGAAATGAGGCGGGGCATCTGCAAAATAATCGTTGGAGAGAAAGAAAAGTGTGGCAGATGTTATGAGTGTGCAAATCTATTATAAATTGTAGTTTAGAGGAGTTCTTCCCTCCTCAAAAATTAAAGTCAAATTTAATTTACAGAACAAAACTAAGTTGAATATTTATTAACACAACTGACTTGATACTAGCCAAACTTGTTAGGATGTAGGGAATATATACTGGTGGTATTAAGAGATTCTAACAGTGGGCTTTAATTTTTCTTTCCAGAAAATTATTAATATTAAGAACCAAAAGCCTTACATAAATTTGTGAGAATAAGAAAAAAATATGAGACATTCTTAGCTCTGTTCCTGGCTGAATATATGGTAGTTAATTTTTGGATGTATATCCTATAAGCATCTCTGAGCACAGACATTGTTGGAGATCACTTAAAAAAAAAAGGCCCCCAAAGGTGATGATCTACCCAAGGTGGGAGAGAGGGCAAGCAAACCGATGTGAACTGCATTTAATTTACAGTCTTAATAATGTGTTAGCCACCTTCCCCTCCCTGCCACTGCACCCCTGTGCCACCCTAGATCTTCCATTATCTGTCATTGTTATGCGTATTTCCAAAAGAGCAGAAAAATGAATAAGGAAGTGGGTAGTCTGACATTGCTCTCTGCAAACATTCACTCTGTAGTAATGACATGTTGCAAAAAGAAAGTATTCTTCACCCAGCTGGCTCCACAGAAAGTGACAGGTAGGCTGGAAATGAGCAAAGTAATTACCCAGCTCCCAGACCCATGATGCCAATTGCAGACCTCTACTACCCTCAAAGAACCATGTACGGGGTGCTTACCTGGAGAGATAGAGGCTCTTCCCTTGAACTGGACTGGGACAGATAGAACATTTATATTGGTATATAGATGTAAATACAAAGTAAGAGTCTGAGTTTATCAATATACAGTCAAATGTTAAAATTCTTCCCCTTATCTCTGAAGGCCAATTAGAGAAGCAATCCCCATCTCATCTGCACACACCGTGAAAGCTGCATCCCCATCAACTGTAGCTTTACTTCTTCAGGTTGATCATTCCCTTGGTGTTGGTTATTCTCAGCATCAGCCATAACAGAGTATATCCCATAATAACAGTCCCAGTCTGAGGAGCTGGGGTTAGGGTTAGGGTTAATATAAAAGTTGAGTTGCCAAAATCAATTCAAACATGACCCTTCTTACAGAGGTATCTATGTTGTGGATTTCAATTCAGAGAAGTGAGTATTCTACAACATTCCAAGGTGTAAATCTTAATTTCCTGCCTTGAGCCTTGGTTATATTTTCCCTGGGCCTGGTACTTAAATATAAAGAAGTTTCTGACCCTAAAATGTGACTGGTGCTTGTTATAGGCCTGATGATATACTAGGAAGTTACTTACTTATCTCATTGAATCTTGAAAACAAACCTATGGCAGAATCAAGACACAGCAGAATTGTGATTGAAAAATTACACACAGGTAGGTAGAATAACATGCTCACGTTCACTAAGTAGCTATACAGGAAATCAAGATTGTATTTGCTTCTGGAGTTCAGAATCCAACCTTTTAAGCAGGGTTTCTTCTTTAGAATACAATGTTCTGAGAAAGACGTTGTGTGGAATTCTGGCCTTGCTATGTTTAATTATTAGTATAGAGAATGAGAGAACATTCCTCTTTTAGGGGCTACTGCTGAATTCCTAAGAAGAAAATCATCTGGACGCCAAAGGACAGCTTTGCAAGACTGTAGTCTTTTCAGCCCTCAAGTCCTTCCGTCCGTCCTCTCTAACACGGTCCTTTTCCCTCCCAGCTTTGTCAACACAGCTGAACCAGACTTCACCTTTTCACTCGGAGTTTCTCTCCACCACTCCTACAGTCCGCTTGGTCCTTTCCATCACCACCACTTCCTGCCTTTTTGCATGTGGGTTCTGCATCTCCCTCTGCTGATTCCCCGCTAACTTTTGTTCCTTCCATTTCAGAGGAACACGTGATCATCCAGGCCGAGTACTTTCTGTCCCCTGACGATTTAGGAGAGTTCATGTTTGACTTTGATGGTGATGAGATTTTCCATGTGGATATGGACAAAAAAGAGACAGTCTGGCGGCTTAAAGAATTCGGACAATTTGCCAGCTTTGAGGCCCAGGGTGCACTGGCAAATATAGCAGTGGACAGAGCCAACCTGGACATCATGATAAAGCGCTCCAATCACACCCCAGACACCAATGGTACCTCTCTCTGTGTTGCACCCCTGAATGTGAGAATGCACAGCTTTTAAGTCGATGCCTCTGTCCTGTGTGTTACATTATGACTGACTTGGCCTCCCCAGAGTCTCCCCTTGCCTAAGCAAGTTCCCAGTTCTCCTGCCACAGGCCTGGGAATTTATGTGTGTGTCCCTTTATCAGTGTGCTCAGATCTTGTCTCTGCCATCCCTGGTGACTGTGCTGCTTAGGGAACAAGTGCTCTGGCTGTCTGATGCCTCAGTCTTGGCTCCAGCTCATTCCAAAGGCTGTCAGAGTTAAGTACCGGAGAATGTGGCATAGAATTCTCAGGGCACAATTTCAACTGCCCTAAAGCTAAAGCTTCTTGAGCGTGAGAGTCCATAGCTGGGTTTATTCCTCCAGTCACTGTGAGAGGCAGAATGGCAAGCCCAAGCCATGGATGCTAATTTCTGTCATGTTTCCCTCAGTGCCTCCAGAGGTGACTCTGCTCCCAAGCAGCCCTGTGGAACTGGGAGAGCCCAACGTCCTCATCTGTTTCATCGACAAGTTCTCCCCACCTGTGATCAATGTCACATGGCTCCGAAATGGAAACCCTGTCACCATGGGAGTATCAGAAACAGTCTTCCTGCCCAGGGATGACCACCTTTTCCGCAAATTCCACTATCTCCCCTTCCTGCCCTCGACCGAGGACGTCTATGACTGCAAAGTGGAGCACTGGGGTTTGGAGGAGCCTACTCTCAAGCACTGGGGTATGGTCCATCCTTCCGGCTCCTTTCTCATAAGATTGCTTCCTACGATGCTGTCTGCACCCTCGGATGCAGGGTACTGTGTCATAGCATCTGCCACAATTCACACCTGTCTTCTTTTATTACCCAGCTTCTTCCACTTTCTAACCACAATTCCCTTGATACATTATCTTCATTCCTCTTCGATCGATACCCTATATTTCATTCTAAACTCTACCCCCTACCACATTCTTTACCATGTACTCTGTTTTATTTTGCTCCAGAGTTTGAAGCACGAACCCCTCTCCCAGAGACTACAGAAAATGTGGTGTGTGCCCTAGGGCTGGTTGTGGGTCTGGTGGGCATCATTGTTGGCACCATCTTCATCATCAAGGGCGTGCACAAGGGCAATGCTACAGAACGCCGGGGGACCCTGTGAGCACAGGAAGGTGGGTGAGGCATGGTCAGAGAAGGACTCATATGGAAGTCGCTAAGGGTGGAAGACAAGGTGGGGGAAAGGATGTGTGATGTTTTTAAGAGAGAGGTGTAGGAAAAGTTGTTGTTCTTTATTTCTCTTTTGCTAGAATGACTCAGATATTGGAATTATCTGGTGTCCCAAAGCATCAAGGCCCTTTATCCCCTTTCAGAGATGTGTGTCTAGACCACACTTTCTGTCTTGGAAATCATCTCCAGTAACTAAGGCCACTGCTTCACATTAGAATAATGAGTCCAGTGATCTAGTATGGAAGCCCCACCATTGGCTTATATTTGCTGAGGGAGACTATCAATTAAGAGGCACTTACAAGCCTGGGTCCACTGATGTTAGAGGTAACATCTCTGCATGCAGTGGAAATATTTTAGATGCCAAGACGATTTCTGTCACTCCTGTCTGAAAATTGCTATTATAAGCTCTGAGAGAGAGGGAGAGAGGGGGGGAGAAGGAGAGAGAGAGGGGTAGGGGAGTGGGAAGGGGAGGGAAGAGGAGGGAGGGGGCAAGAGAGGGAGAGGGAAAGAGAGAGAGAAGAAGGAGTCAAATGCAAAAGCTCAAAATACTCATCTTAAACATTTTAGTAACTGCATGTGTCCTGTTACAGGTGATTCCTTTCTTAGAGAGAACATTGAAGATTCAGTGTCTGATGTAATAATTTTACAAGCCTGGCAGTACTTCAGTGGTCAACCTCTGCCACCATCTTCAGCATTTTCCAGACATCTAGCCACCCCAGGGATACTGACACCTTCCCTGAGCCTTCCGCTCTCTAGCATCTGGATGGCCTTCCCTCTTTATCACTATTTCCTGTATCTGCTTTTCCTGTGTTTCCTACCATCTTGTCATCACCAGGCAATACCTCTGTAATAAACCCCACAAAATTCTTTCACTGCTATGCAACTTTCTGAACGTTTCATTAGGGCATCTCCTGTGTACTTATTGCTTAGGATTTCTCAAAACTGTGATTTTTTTTTCTTAAGTACAATAAACTGGTTTTGGGGAATTTGGTGTCTGAAACAGATGTTTTATTTTGTTTTGTTTGGGTGGGAGCAACAGATTTGAGGAATGCATGTGGTCCTTCCCATCAAGAAATACCTGAATATTGAAAAAGCCCTTTATATTCTGGAATTGACCAGAAATATCCAGGTTCACTAAGGCTTGGTCTCACTGTAGGCCTCTGAAGACAATCCTGTTGCTGTGATCAAACCTCACCAGGGAAACCCTGTGGCAGGGCTGGTTGGTTTGGTGATCTCTACTCATCAATGTGTTCAGCATCCAGTTTTGGTTATCAAACCTCCAAGTCAAGGAAATAGTTGTATCTTCAGTAGAGTGAGTCCCAAAGCCCAGATTTTGGCCTCGGTACTAAGGAAGGCAGAGAGAGGGGAGGAGATGGGGGTAGGATGGGGAGTAAAATGAGAAAAGCATTCATATACATTAAAGGATTTACAAATCAACTCTACACATTCCAAAATCAATGAAGAATGAGTCTAGACACCAAAGAGTGGCATTATCAGTTCTGTGAGACAGCCTTGAGCACCTGCTCACGCCTAGAAGACTCTAACTTATTACTGAATCCATCTTTTTTATTTGAGAGGTAGAGTTATAAACAATGAGAGAGAGAGAGAGAGAGAGAGAGAGAGAGAGAGAGGTTTTCCTTCCATTGGTTCACTCCCCAAATGGCTGCCACAGCCAGCGATGCACTGATCCGAAGCCTGGAGCCAGGTGCTTCCTCCTGGTCTCCCATGCAGGTGCAGGGGCCCAAGCACCTGGACCATCCTCCACTGCCCTCCCAGGCCACAGCAAAGAGCTGGACTGGAAGAGGAGCAGCCGGGACCAGAACCCAGTGCCCATGTGGGATGCTGGCACCACAGGCAGAGGATTAACCAAGTGAGCCACGGTGCCGGCCTGGATCCATCTTATATCTGGAAATGTGCCCTTGAGTGGGAAAACAGTAATGAGAGGAAGGACAGGGTGCAGCACTAAAATGGGAGGAAAACTCATTATAAACACAATGAGCTATGGCTCATTTGTTTGTGAAAGTTTGGTGATTTTCATTTTTAAGATGGTTACCAGAACCTACCAAAAACCATGAAAATCAACTACCCATGGCAGTGGAAGACTGGCAAATAAGAACTTTGGAAAGACATTAGACTGGGCTTTCATTTTGGCTCTGTCACTTAGTAGAGGTACATCCACCTGTATCTTAGCTTCAGATTCCTTGTTATAGTACTGATGTCAATTTTTAATACACTGGGTTATTATGAGAATTAAAAGAAAAACTCAGGTGAAGTAATTAGGTACGATGTTTAATGATTGCAAAATTGCAAAAACTATAAATTCTGTTGTTTTCCCCAAAAGTTATACAGCATGATGATAAAAATCTAAGAAAAACAAAACAAAACACACACAAATCTATGCAGAATGACCTCATAAGACTTACTACTAAAAACTGGCTTCTGTCAAAGCAGAATCTTGACAATATTGAAGACAGAATAGGCAGGGGTATTTGTCTTACACAACTCCAAATTTGTATTATAAAGTAAATAGATGTACAATGGGGAACACACTAAAACTCAGACAATTATGCAATAAAAAAGCAAAAAAATAAATCTAGATCCTCCACATAAGAAAGCTACTTTTTAATATACTTTATTTTTTAGAGAAGTTTTGAGTTTGCAAAAAATTGTAGAAAAAATAGAAGAGGCCATGTGTCCTCTGCAGACCCTCCAGTTTCTCCTATTATTACTATCTTGCATTAGTGTACACTTGTTACAACTGATTAACTTAGACTAATACTTGCTATTAGCTAAAGCCCAGGGTCACACGAGGATTCACTTTCTATTATACAGTTCTGTGGGTTTGACATACAAGATGCCATATATTTACAGTGTCATAAGAGTTTCACTGATCTAAAAATGCTTGTGCCATCTATTTGTCTATACAGTCTATTGTGTAAAAGTTACCCACAGCAAAACCCCAGATTTAAATCTCTTTAGTTGAGCCCATTTGAATCTCTCTTAAATAAGGAAAGGAATAAACAGCACTAATTTATACAAACTTAGAAGAACTAGAAAAAAAAAGAAAGTGCTTTCCTAAGATTGCTATAACCTTTACTTCAAAACCCAACGAGGACTCTGCAACAAAAAGTAATTTGCTGACATACCACCCACAAACACAGATGTCAAAATCTTAAGTAAATAGAGGTCGGTGCTGTGGCTTAGTAGGTTAAGCATTCACCTGTGGCACCAGCATCACATATTGGCACTGGTTGGAGACCCAGCTGCTCCATTTCTGATCCAGCTTCCTGTTGATGGCCTGGGAAAACAGAAGATGGCCCAAGTGCTTGGGCCCTGCTCCCACATGAGAAGAAGCTCCTGGCTCCTGGCTTCAGATCGGCCCAGCTCTGGCTGTTGTGGCCATTTAGAGAATGAACTAGCGAATGCAAGACCTCTCTCTGTCTCACCCTCTCTCTGTCTGTACCTCTGCCTCTCAGCTAAATAAATAAATCTTTTAAAAATTTTAAGTAAATATTGAAAATTGAATCTACTGATAGATGTAAAAGATGCTACACCATGATCAAGTTCAGTTTATTCCAAGAATACAAGATTGTATGAATTTAAGAAATCAAATGATGAAATTTATTTAACCACATTAACTAAAAGAAGGCGAACTGACATAGGACCACTGCAATAGAAGCAAAAAACATTATTTGACAGAATTCAACACCTGAAAGAGCAAAATTAATTAGGAAACTTGTATTTAAAGGGAATCTCCTGAGTCTGAGAAAGGACAGCTACCCTACTATACACACCAGACTCTGCAGGTTTCTTAAGCCATGAAAAATGGCAAGAAAAACAAATTAAAGGTATAGAGATTGCAGAGCAGGTAAATTAGTCATTATCTGCTTTTGACAGGATCATGCATTTAGAAAATAAAAACATCAAAGATAGGAGTATTTAACAAATTTAATAATTTTTCTAAATATAACATCAATATATACAAAATTATGTGTACTATTATTATGCTCTATCATCAATAAATAAAGTGCAATTTTTAAATGATATCTTTTAGACTAGCATTACAAAATATTCAGGAATAAAACTAAGGAAAGATTAACAAGATTTCTACACTGAAAAGCACAAAACATTATTGGGATAAATTAATGAAACCAAATAAATGTAGAATATGCCCAATTTGAAGATTCAACCGTTAAATATTTTCAAAATGTCAGTTTTCTCCAAGTTAATTTATATTCAATAAAACTATTGAATATCATGGCAAGGTTTTTTGTTTGCTTGCTTGTTTTGTTGCTTTTCATTTCTTCTATTTTCTTTTGGATAGAAGGGAAAATTTCAAACTGAATTCAATATAAGTACTAAGTTAATGGATTAGTCAAAAAAAATTTTTTTTAATGACAAAACTATGGGGCTGGCACTGTGGGGCCATGGGTTAGAGCCCCAGCCTGCAGTATGGGCATCCCATAAGGGCACTGGTTTGAGTCCTGGCTGCTCCACTTCTGATCCAGCTCCTTGCTAATGTGCCTGGGAAAGCAGTGGAGGATGGCACAAGTCCTTGGGTCCCTGAATCCACATGGGAGACTCTAAAGAAGCTCCAGGCTCCTGGTTTCATATTGGCCCAGCTCCAGCCACTGGGGCCATTTGGAGAGTGAATCATCAGACAGATGATCTCTCTCTTTGTGTCTCTACCTCTTTCTGTAACTCTGCCTTTCAACTAAATAAAATAAATCTTTAAAAAAAATAACAGAACTAAAGGCAATTCAGTACAAAAAGGCAAGGCCTACATTAATTTGCCCTGTGTAACGTCAAATATGAAATGGAATAGAAATTCTAGAAACAAATACACTGCTTTGGCCTATAGAAGCATGGCAATGCACCATGTGAAAAATGGCGTTTTCAACAAATGCTGATGATCATTTGCGTATTTATTGCAGAAAATGTACCATAAAGTCTACCTACTCAAATAATCAATAAAAATCATTCCCTGGTAGACTGAAAATATTTACTAGACTTTAACCCTGAAGGAAACTGGGCTTTTAGTTTCCTTTGAGAGATGGTTTCCGTAACAGTTCCAATCATTTTATCAGATTAGGATTCTATACAAATTGTTTGTTGTTCATTCAGCTTTGATAAATGATATGGGCTAGCATTTGAAATTCATACTGCAGAGCTGTAGACTGTATTTTCTTATCCTTAAGCTTTGGCTGCCCTATATATGTATTGACAGAGTGGTGGGAATGATGCCTCGACTTCTGAGGCTAGCCCTAAAGAAATCTTGCATCAAGTCCTTTCCTCTCTAGGAAAATGTGCTCTCAGGAATCTCAGCTCTCAGTAACAAAACTCTTCTCCCTGCTGATGAGACCACAGCACCATGTAAGAGGCACTGAAACCACATACAGAGAGAATGTCCCAGTGTCCCAACTAAACCTCAGGGCAACCGAGCCCCAGATGCCCCCTGTCTCTACAGCCACATGAGAGGTCTCCACTGAGAGCCACCTACCTGAACTCATCAGCTCCCAGAGTGAAGAGAAATCATCGCATGGCCATAATTTTAAAACACTAAATTTTGGGGTGGTTTATCACACAGAAATAAAGAAATACTGTGTTTTTCAAAAAATGTCACCTAATTGTTAAATATATGGAAATAAAATTATTTACTGTTTTAGTATCCTTTTAATCTCTGATCTGCAGAACTGTCATGTCTTTCACTTTAGATGTTATTGGAATTTAGATATTTCTTTTTTGTTCCTTATGATTACAAACAATTATCAGAAGAAGACAAATGTCTGGCATCATCAGGACGCCACTTGGGATGCCTACATCTCATGTTGGAGGTGTTGGGGAAGGGGGGAGGCATATTGCAAGTTCCAGCTCAATTGCTGCCTCCCAGGGTACACACTAGCTTGGAGCTGTTATTCTAAGTGGAGCTTCCCCAACAACTCCAACATGGGATCCAGGCATCCCAAGTGGTG